GTGTCAATGACCCCGTTTGAACGGGTAAACTTTCATTCTGGGAACAGGAGGATTATAGAAGATTACGCACTCTTGGCAAACCTTGCAATACGTACAGATATCTCACAGGTGGAAATAAGAGCTCATAACATCGAAGAATATTAGTACTTAACCCAAATGCTATCTCAGCGCTATTATTCTTGGCCTATGAGTAAGCAAGGTTCTGCTCTTTAGTCCTTTCAATCTAAACTAATAAATTTTACACTACAAGCCGTTTTTGCATTTTTGTATTGGTCAACGTAAAAGTTCTTATAAGGCGTCGCGAAGCAAGCCAGGCATTTGCTAGTAATAAATAAATAAATAAATAAATAAATAAGTAAATAAATTCAGATTAAAAAGTCCAAAATTTTAATGAAACTTTGTTGAATTTTTCTAAGCTCTGTATAAAAATTTAAAGTCTGATTTATATGGTTTCGGTTAAAGCGTGAAATTGCGAAGGCCGAGTTCGCTTATAAAATCGAGATTTCAAACTAAAATTTTTCGCATTTCGTTTCGCTATTAGCTGGCGTTTGTGGCAAAAAGAACTTTCTTAGAGATGATTTACGATGCCAATTAACACAAAAACTAAGTACATGAACAATTTATACTTACAGTTACGCTCTTAAATAGCATAGAATTTTTTACTATTAACAAGCATCTCCAGTTTACAGTGACAAACATAAAAATAGGGTGAATAAAGAAACATTGGCTTGAGTGAATGTTTATGAATCAGGAGGTAAGGTTATTTTATTTTCGTTATTAACAAAAAATGTTACCAGCATACTTAAACTTTCTGTGCAGATTTTCAGCTCCTAAATTTTAATGAAATATTTTTAGTTTTAAAGTTTTATCTTTTTGCGACAAACCTTACATTTTTCCTACGAGTTTTAAGCGTATCTCCCGCAAACTATAATCCTCAAAACACAAGTCAATTACTTGAATGTATTTATGTTTATGACCGCCGCTGCCTTTTTAGTAACACTTGAGTGAGCGCTTCGTTACTTCAGTCAGGTTGTATGTGCATACATGAATACCTTCATACATAGAAGAACTAACACCACATGCATCAAAGCACGCCACTTAAGTAGCGTTAAGTACCTGGAGTGTATTGAAAACAAAAATAAAAAAAATGTAGAAAAAAAAACAGTCGTATGCATTTCAAAAACACCTTTATTTGTAATCACTTCATTGGCATACGGGTGAGCGAGTTATGTATTGTCGGCACCCTTACTCTGTTTAAATACTTGCTCGCATTTATAAATCACCGAAAACAAACTCACTTAAATAAATTGTACAATTTTGTAAACACAACCCGAAAATCAATGGCAAGGGAAATAACGTCCATATGTACAGACATACAGAACAAACAGATCTTGGAATGGTGGGAAATTCATGCAGCCTGGCAACATCTGTTATGATTTTGTTAACATGTTGGTTTGGAGAGCTGAAGAGCGCGAGAAATGTCTTTTTTGCCTATTGAAAACTCAGCAGAATAACGCTGCTGAATGAGAGAGTTATAGATATTTGAATATTTTTCGTGCTTAATTTAAATCATTTTGATAATAAAAAAGGTCATGTTTAATTTTATTTGCTTTACATGACTTTTGGTGTACTGTTTCCTTTATCACAGCTGTGTTTATTTTCTTGCTTTCGCAAATATCTCACTGAATATCTTGAAAGTACAAAAAAAACACGCACACAGTAGAAGGCCTTAAGTAACATTTTTTCGGAAAATTGATTTTTTAGTGTTGCCCTCAGATATACTGACATACCAAAATTAAAAAAAAAGAAACCTTTAAAAAATATGGAATTCACTGGTATTATTAGAGCTGCAATTGCTATAATATTTAATAGACCTAAATTGATCAAATAAATTCTACAATAACGGTTGGAAGAAAAAATTGAGCGAAAAATCGAACAATTTTGGCCAACTTTTGACTTTCATTGTTTTAAACAAAAAGTAATTATTAATTTCGGCCATATAATTTTCAAGGCCGGTCAACGATAATTTTTGCTTTTTGTTTGTTTAGGCATTCCGAAAAGGCAACGCTAAAATTTAAATCTACTTTTGGACCACATAATCCCCGAAAAGTCCTGAACAATAACTCAGAAAAATACAGATAAGTCCGCAAAATTCCGAAAGTTCCGAGACAATTTATAGAAAAGCTTTTTTATCCTTATGAAAAGTCTTCTATTCATCTGCCAATTATAGTTCCTATCTTGAAGGTAGGGTAGTTTTTGGAGTGGTGTTGGTCACAATCACCATTACATTTTTCTATACACTCCTTAATACCTACTAACAAACTTTGTGATAACTTATATGAGTAGTCCACTGGCAAACAGCGTTATGTGATTTTATAATAGAGCGCCATAAATTTGAAAAAACGACTACGACAACAAGTAACATTTAAATTGAATATTTTTTTATTATTACCTGAAAATTTGGATAAATAAGAGCCTTATAAAATTATAACATAACATACCATGACATAAGATAACATTAAAAGTACGACCTAAAGCAGTTTTCTAGGTTCATCAGAGATGGATACTTTTGTAAGTTTATAAATAAGTATGATAGCGACTTTTGGAAGAAGAGTCAACATTTTATGCTATTTTTTTCAGAATATAAAAGTATTTTGCACTGTGTTCTTAGTGGACATGAAACTACTTTAAATACTGGAACGTAATCCACCAAAAACTATAAATCGAAAAAATTTTACATAGCGCACTTTGCAAGTGGACTACTCGTATGTAAGTAAACATATTTTTGCTGTTAAGTGTATACCACCAGCAACTGTGAGAGTTTTTCACATAGAAAGTGAGCAACTGCATACGCTTTCTGGCTCTCTATTAGCGATGTTTCTATCTCTCCATATACTTGGTATTCAGCAATAGCCAAAGCAAGCTAACAAGCCTAGAGCGTGTAGGCTTGCTAGCGTTAAACCAGCTGTCTATCAGACCTCGTTGGCGGGTTACCCCCTATGTGCTCTGCAGGGAGCAGTGAGTGTACGAGAAGATACATATACAGGGTGGGCCAAATAACACCTATCTACCTACTGCAGCAGGTCCATAGTTTGCCTAGCAGTATGCGCAGTCGCTCGATCTTGTTGGAACCACAAATTAGGAGCTGCTCTGCCGTTGACCGAAAAAAGTTGTCAATCATTGTTCTGTAAGAAGCCCCAGAAATCGTTTCTGGCATTTTATCCTTAATTTCGATGAAATATGGGCCGATAACTTTTTCGCCCATAACACCGCACCAGACAGTGCAGAGCCCGTCGGTCTACAGTTTTGCTTGTTGATGCGCTTCATCCAACATCAAAACTTTACCTAAAAAATAAATTTGTGTGCTAATTGTGTAAAGCGAAGAGCGTATTGTAGTCGTTGTTGGTGGTCTTGCTGTAAGTATTCATTATGATTTTCCAAGAAATTAACTATAACATGCAGAAAGAAAATAATAATATTAAAAAATAAAGAATTTATACGTATTTAATATTGGTAGGTCTTATTTGGTCCACCCTGTATAAGCAATACGTTAAGGCGAAGTGACTCACATACAATAGCGCATACATATTTTGTTGTAAATTGTGCTGGAAACATCGAATTGTTTAGCCACCAACTGCAATCTGTAAAATACACGTAGTAATATCGCACATGATCTTCAAAAGTGACACAACTTAAAATTACACATTCGTCAGAAAATGCGAAAAACTATTTCGCAGCACTGCTAATCATATGCGCAAGGTAGGCTTTGCCTTATGTTTTTCAACAAATTATATACAAAATTTGCTCCAGCCTTTGCTTCAAGGTAAATAAAAGCTGTGTACATTTTTAGCGCATAATTTCAAAAATGCCACAAATTTTGAGTTGTGTCACTTTTGAAGATCGTTTACTATACTATGGCGCGTAAGTACTCAACTCACATTGATTCTCATATGATTTTGTGCTCACTCGGCCAACATTTGCTGACTAGTTGGCTGCTTACCTACTCTTCTGTAGGTAGTCGGAGACTGCTTTGTTTAGTTGTCAAACTGCAGTCCATTCACGAGCAACATTGGAGACGTGTTTCGGAATGAAAGTTTTGTGGTTTAATAAACTTTATGTCAACATTCGTGTGCTAACTTTTTTTTCACCGTCATACGGTCGGTCGCACTGAAACAGTCAGTGGTTTTTAACTTTGTGTCCTCAGATTGTTGCAATTTTTATTGTTAAATACAAACATATTTACAATTAATTAACTCTGTTACTCGTATACACATTAAATTGCCTTCGTCGACGTTGTCATTTTCGTCCACTTCACAGCCGTGGTTTATTGTTTTTTATTGCGCTGTCAACTACGTTATCGTTGTTATAGGTGTTAGTGCTGTTTTTTTATATGTACGTATGTATTTGTATACTTATATTATTTTATTTTCTACCACATTTGGTGCCAGTTACTGTTGATTCGCTACGCTGCGCTGGCACTTTTGCCAAGTTTATGGTGTGCTATCAACTAGAAAGTACGCGAAAAAAAAGAAAATAAAAGAATTTGCACATTAAAAAGTTAATAATAAAAGAAATGTGTATAAAGCAAGAAGTGAACACAAATTAAAACAACAATTTCATAAATTGTTAATTCTGGCTTCGTTGTATTGAAACAAATCTACGTATGTAAGTGCATCTGACGTCACATCCTCTTCGCTGTTTCTGAACTCGTTGCAATACATTAATTTTCGCTAAATTGACGAGTGCCTCTGAAAAAGTACGTACATATGCACGAGTAAGCGCAACACATTTGGGTGATCGTAAACAATGCAATCAGCAACAACGAATAACACTGTCATATTGACGTTGAAATAAATGGTGAAAACGGGCTTGCTGCTGCTGCGGAGTGCGTGTGTGTGTTCATAGAGTGGCTGCTCGATCGCTGGCTTGGTATACCCCCCACGAGGAGCATTGAGTTAACAGAGAGTATGTAGCAAAATTTCTTTGCATTTGTGCTACAACAACAATAAAATAGTTTTTGCGCGAAAATATGTACAAGCGTTTATAATTAAAGATTTGAATACATCCATGTTGAATCAAAATTTAGAAAAAAATCGCAAATCAATCAGTGGCTCAAAAGTGAAATTTATCACGCTAAACATCAGCTGATGCGTGAAAAAGTGAAAATCTACCGGCTCGTGTTGTATGGAAATTTATAAGTGTGTCGCGCAAATGAAAAATATGTGTATGTATTTCGTAGAATCATAAACGCGCGCAAGTAATCAATTTGCATTTATATGCATCCATATTTGCAGTTGCATATCCGGTTGAAATGTACACATTAGTGGCAGATATTAGACAGATAAGCCACTAAAATTGCCTATTTTACTGGCTTGTACTACTTCTTAACTTTTGCTACTGTTACTATCGCGGTAACTACACACACATAGTTGATGTTCATCTAATAAGTGTCAAAGTGTCATAAACTTATCTCAGACGTTCATACTTTATGTGCATCTTTTAGCTGTGCATTTCTGTTCTTGCTCTTGTAATTCGACATTTTGCATTCAATTTAATTTGTATATAAACGAATAAACGCTACTACGTGTTCATCATGCAAAATTACAACTACAATCACATATGGCTATAGCGCTTAGCCGAGATCTAACGTCATTGCCAACACATCATTTGCAAAGCAACGGAGTTATCAGCATTGCCATCAACTTTGGGGGACATAGTATATAGTACATCTATACATACGTGTTTGAGCAGCTGATTGTTGGATAAATTTTTTATTTCAACAATATTGTGGTGTTGCTTGTACGCATGATAAATTTTAAATAAATGGTTAGTAATTATTTGTATGCTACTATTCAACCGCTGTTACCACACTATTTTTGTGAGCATCTTCAAAGTCACAATAGTTAAGATATTTGTACAAACTTATTAAATATTTATGAAGTATTCTTGCCCCCAAGTGGTAAGAGTTTGTATCTAGTCGTAAGTAATAGTCACCTATGTATTTACTAGGGAACGGATTTTTAGGACCTGAAAACCTATACACAAGGCAAATAGACAGGAAAGGCACTAGAAATCGCAGAAAAGGCAAAAGAAGGCGCTAAAAAATACTAAAACCGAAAAATAATCAAAATATATATTTATTCTAGAAAAGTTTATTTTATAAGAAAAAAAGAGAAAAGCTATGAACTAGTTTCATTATATAAAACATCTGTACTTTGAATATTTGACTATTTTCTCTTTTTTAGTTTTTAACCCCCAAAAGTTTAATCTCTATAGTTGTAGTGACATTAATCACAAGATGCATTTTGAAGTTTTCTGGAAGCATTTTTATTCGACTCAATTTGGATATGGAGCTTATAAAACTTTCATATTATCAGGAATAAGGGGTGTTTTCTTGCCCTTTACAATCGAAAGTTAGAAAAGGCAAATATCTTAAAAAAGGCAACATCAAATGTGTTTATATGGAATCAGGGAAAGCTAAATCGTGTACATTCTTAGGATAAATTTATTTCAGAAGTAAAGATTTTTACTGCCGGTTTCAGTAAAAATTTAAGACAAAATTGATTTCTTCTCTTCTGTTAGTTTTTATAGTAAATTCTAACAAAAAATCATTCTTCACTTAAATTGTTTTCGTGAAACTGGCTGTTCCTTGCGAAATGCTATGATCGAAAATCATAATTAATAATAATAGATTGACACCTACACACATGTTTGTGTTTTGATGAGCTTCTCCTCCGATTTATGTAGTGCGTCTTTTATGTCGTCACACAAACGGTAGTTTTACGCCGACTCCGAACGGCAATTGCATTTTTATAAGGAGCTGTTTTTCGTGGCGTCGATGTCACAAAAGCTTTTCAACAAGGCTAAATGCAGTAATCGTGACAACCAGCACAGACACGAGAGTAAGAAATGGAGCTGTAAAGAAATAATGCGACATCAAGTCTTCCAAAAGATACGAGCTATGTAACTGGCGCCCCTAAATTGGAGCGCTAAGCGATGCGTTTTCCATTGTCAATGAAAGACAGTGCGCGCTATCCCCGACGCAACTTTTGACGTTTTCACATTTCCTATCGTTTTTATTCTCGTTTCCTCTTTCACTTTTTTGTTCTTTTTCTCTGTTTCCGTCTTCTGCATACAACTTCAACATAAAACGCCTTGTCAAAAATGAAAATATCATTTGCTCGGCGTTAGCGCCACGTTATTGTGGGATGCTCCATACAAATTGTACGGGCATGAGGATTTTTGACTGTTGTTTAGGGATTGCAGTACGTCCGATGAAATTCTGAGGGTGAAGGGGTCTCGAACATTGGAAATACGATGAAGATAGCTAGAACTGGGCTATTAAATCTTTCCATCCGTTCAAAGCAGTGGGCCGGACGACGTGGTTCTACGTACCGGAATGACTCGGGTTTCACCCGACCAAGGGCTGTTGTTTCGGGGTTAGACCCGTTTAGGTCGGCGAAGTATCTCAGAAGTTGTCCGTCCATAGGGCTACATTCACTACGTATTCTCCTACTCAGGGCTGGCATCGAGTCAAACCCAGGGCCAGAAACATACACCTGCTGTGTATGCCGGAGACGATTACACCACAACTCCACCTCAGTCAAGTGTAATGCCTGCGAGGGGTGGAGTCACCTCAGAGTCTGCTCGGGACTACGGGCACATAGACAGTGGACCACGTCGTACGTGGCCCCCTGTTGCTCAAACAGAGCAGCCTCCACGGCTAACCACAGTCCGCCCGAGCAGCCTCACACACTCACACAGTCACCACAACACAACAACATAATAACACCACAGACCGTACCACAGCCACTACATACCACATAACACACACAACCGCACCACCACCCACACGCCGCCGCCAACAACTCCTGGTTCCCCCTACAATCTGCACGGTATGTCAGACCAGGATATTCCGTAATGTGACATCAGTCAAGTGCAACACCTGCCTTGGCTGGTGCCACTTTAGGGCATGCTCAGGTCTGCGTACCACGCGAGATTGGACTGGGAACTTCGAGGGCCCATGTTGCGCTGCTCGGTCGCAGACCCCAATTGCGACGCCCCCCACCACCACCACAGGGCGGCAATCACCACAGCAGCACACACAGCCAACGGCGGCAAGAACATACACTTCACTTACACCCCACATCACGACACGTCTCCCGAACCACATGAAGCTCCTTCAATTTAACTGCAACGGGCTACAGAGCAAGATTGAGGAGATAACCGTCTTCATGTGTCGGCATGGTATATTGATAGCTGCGGTCCAAGAGACGAAGTTGCACAGCAATTCAACTTTGTTAAATTGCGCCGGGTACAACGTGCACCGTCGAGATCGCGAGCGAGATAATGGTGGTGGCTTAACGTTCATCACGCACCACACCGTGCAGTATCGTCTTATCGAAGCAGACATCGACCGCAGGGATACCGCCCTAGAATGTCAGGGCATCGCTATCCGGTCAGGCGATGTCGAGCTCGAAATATTTAACATATACATACCCCCTGTCACCTGCTGCCCGGCAGGATATCACCCTGATATAGGTGCGCTCCTCAGAGGTGAAAACCGTATGGTAGTAGGTGACTTTAATGCGCACCACGATCTTTGGCACTCAAGCCTGTCAAACGATCGTAGGGGAACAGACTTGGCTGATAGACGATTCGACATTCTGCACAATGAACGACGACGCACCCACCAGGATTATGGGTAACTGCAGTAGCTCGCCAGACATCACAATAGTCAGCGCTGGTCTAATAAACAGCATAACGTGGCGACCTATGCTGACTCTAGCATCAGACCATCTACCCATAGTCATCTCGATAGATAAACCAACCGACTTTGCCTCCGCCAAACACCGGACCTATATCAACTTTTCTAAAGCTGATTGGAAAGGTTACGCGGAGTTTACCGAAAACACCTTGACATGGCTCCCCACACCAACCCACGTCCATCTCGGTGAACGTAAGTTCCGCAGGGCTATCACTGCTGCTGCAGCTCGCTTCATACCGGCAGGATGTATATCGGACCCACGTCCTAACTTCCCTGCCGAAGCGGCTGTTCTAGTCGATGAGCGTGATAGCCTTCGTCAGGCCGATCCCGGAGATCCCCGTATCAGGGACCTCAACGCGGAGATTCGGCAACTTGTAAACGTACATAAGCGGAAGAAGTGGGAGGAGCATCTGAAGACCTGTAATTTCACCTCTGGTGTGAGCAAGCTTTGGTCAACCGTGAGGTCATTGTCTAATCCGATGAAGCACGACGACAGAGTCGAAATTTCCTTCGGCGACCATGCCTCGTCGGACCCGGAGCGGATTTTAGCCGGCAGTTCATACTGCATCCTCCGGTGGACAAAGGCAAGCGTCGAGTGACCAGAAGGCTGCACAAACTGCCAACAACTTGTGCCCCCCTTGCTTTCACTTGCGGTGAAGTTCAAGTGGCCATCGGGAAGGCGAAAGCGTCCAAAGCCATGGGTCCCGACGGAATATGCATGCTGATGCTGACAAATTTGGGTCCTGCGGGGGTAGCGTACCTAACTGAGGTCCTCAACTTGTCAATGGCCACTCTCATCATCCCAGATATCTGGAAGGTGGGGTGAGTGGTCCCACTGCTCAAACCGGGGAAACCTGCCAACAAAGGAGATTCGTATCGTCCGATAACACTCCTTTCCCCGGTAGCGAAGACACTAGAGGCCTTGCTACTCCCGTACTTCACAAACCACTTGACCCCAGCGAAGCATCAGCATGGTTTCCGTAAAGTGCACAGTACAACAACAGCACTTAACGCCATAAACACTCAGATAACTCGTGGCCTTAACCGTAACCGTCCCTGTGAGAGAACGATTCTAGTAGCGTTGGACTTGTCAAAGGCGTTTGACACCGTCTGCCATTCCACGCTACTAGAAGATATAGAGGCCTCCTCTCTCCCACAGAGGCTCAAACGGTGGTCGGCAAATTATCTGAGTGGTCGACATTCGTCGGTAATGTTTAGAGACAAAACGAGTAAGCAGCGAAAAATAAAACAGGGGGTTCCTCAGGGTGGTGCCCTTTCCCCGCTACTGTTTAACTTTTACATTTCAAAGCTCCCTCAACCACCAGAGGGAGTCTCGATTGTCTCTTATGCCGACGATTGCTCGATCATGGCGACTGGGAATGGAATTGATGACCTGTGTTCGAAAGTAAACGGCTATCTCTCCGAACTTTCTCGCTTCTTCACTGCAAAGTGTCTAGCCCTCTCCCCTACGAAATCCTCCGCGACCCTGTTCACAACCTGGACGAAGGAGGTCAGGCTACCGCTGGGGATTCACGTCAATGACATACCAATTTCGACGGTCAATAACCCCAAAATACTCGGAGTAACATTCGACAGCCTGCTCTCCTTCTCTGCGCACTCAACCGCTATTCTCAATAAAGTACAGAGCCGCAACAAGGTCCTCAAGTCGCTAGCCGGCAGTACTTGGGGCAAAGACAAAGAAACGTTGCTGGCAACATACAAGGCAATAGGCCGGCCGGTTTTGAACTACGCAGCGCCAGTGTGGTCGTCAGGGACTATTAGGACGCAGTGGACGAAGCTACAGACTGTACAGAACATCGCACTCAGGACAGCGACAGGATGCCTCTTGATGTCGCCTGAAAACCACCTGCACGGCGAGGCGCAAATGCTCCCTGTAAAGGAGCATAATATAATGCTCTGCAAGCAGTTCCTGATCGGGAGCCACAGAAGTGGCCACCCAAGCAGACAGCTGATTGCAGAGAAGCCCTCGCCTAGGCACGTCAGGAGGCATCTATATGAACTGACGGACGAAGTCCAGAGGTTCATTAAGCAACCTCTG